AGCCAATTGTTTTTTTTTAGCTAACGCTCCACCAAACTTCCGGGTCACGTAAACTGTACCGATTAAATATTAAAATCAAATTCTGCGTTGCTGTCCGTTTTTCCATTTCATATTCTTGATCTGAGCTTAGAATTGATATATGAAAAATAAATCCTTTTTTCGTTTTTGGTTTAACCATAAAAAACAAAAAACAAAATAACCAGTCAATTTTTTATTTTTTGATTGACAATTGAAAATAGAAAGAACGAATGATACACGGATTCAAAGGCTGTGGGAAAGTATAGTTTGTCTTTATTTAGAAAATATGGACGTTGTGCTTGTTAATTTTCCTTTTGGAGCAGTGTAGACTGACCCTGAGGTTTTGGTGCCTATTTACTTTCGGCCACCCTTATAAAAAATCTTCTGGCTACGCCCCTGGATGAACGGACCTGAGCAGAACTACAGGAGCCGGGCGCGCGGCGCGGTGACATCACGCGTCTCCAGTGTTGACAAGCAGGCAGGCAGGCAGACCCTCCATGGAGCCGACAGCCATTAGCCAGACCCCGACCCTCTGAGGCTTCCAGCGATCCACGCCTGCGCCGATCCTCCCGTCTTTCTATCATTTTTCTGCAGATTCATCCTCTGCTGCATCGCAGCTGAACATCCACCGCATCCTCAGCCGTAAACTGGCTGGAAATGCAGCACAAACCTGCAGCATAACGCTCTATTTTCAATAATCTGCAGCTCAGCTGAGTGTGACGTCATTTTTGTTGTTTTTCGTGGCGATATGAAGATGGGGAGCATCAGGGCATTTCTGCGGCTGACCAGGCGCGGCATGAAGCTGGAGCGGCTCAGAGAGCTCGGTCGGCAGTACCCCGTCTTCTGTTTCCTGCTGCTGCTCCTGCTGCTCTCCACTCTGCTTTTAAATAGGTGAGTTAAACCGGGGTCCCTGAACGCATCACGTGTTGACCTGACGTGATGCAATGATTGTTTGTCAGCTGGCGGTTTGTTATCGAAGTTTAGCAGGGGGGGCAGTGGCTTTACAAAAACACACAAAAAAAGAACAGAAATAGAACCCATGTTTTATTTTATTATAACATAATAATAATAATTAAATATTATTGTTATCTCTCAGCTTTTTCTCATAGTAGCTTCCTCTGGTCTGTTCCTGTTTGGCTGTGACTCCATCCTGGAGAGAAATATCAGCTGTGCTGCTGCCA